AAAGATGTATCAGATAAATCACGATGTAACAATTACAGAAAAAAAATTAATTTCGCGTGTGTCGTCAGGAACATTCCATCGTATCAAATTCTACAAGTCATCAACATTTTTGAATCAAATTCCACGGTATTTTTCCAAAGTTCACGCTTATTCGATGAAATAAGAAACCGAGACAAAATAAAGAACGCGCGATATACGAAAGCAACACGTGTAAAATTGTAAAATATATTTAAAATTGTTTGCTATACTTTAATTTTTAAATCAAATTCACTTTTAAGAAATACATTTGTTACTGATAAGACTATATTCGTTATTCTTGAATAAACCTATCGCTCTTATTGTTTCTTGCACGAAATAAAATTGTCCTAACTCTGGATCAAAGGGACCATGGCATCATACGTGCAAGAGCAAGATGCACTCTCAGGTACGAGAGCATGTGGCCTCGACCTTGGTGCATTGCTCGACTGCACTGTGCATCGTCCCACGCAGTGGCGTAACGCCCAGGTGAGATTCCAATTTTTTCCTCGACATTATCCCTCTCGAATAAACGGACACGAATGTTCCTACAATTCACCACTTCGATCCCTTATCGCTATCGTCGTCATGTGTAAATTTGGTTCATTTTAATAGTATACGTAATTTATATTTGAATAAATTGCGACCTTTAAGAGTTACGTAACAGTTTGGACGAAACTAGTCTTCTTTAATACATGTACAATAATAACGAAACATGAGTACAAGAGGAATAATAATATTCACAATCAAGAAGTAATGTTAGAATTTTTTAAAAATAGTTTATTATGCAATTGTGTTTCTTAAGGCTTCTTTTGAAGAGGACCACGCGCCAGGTTGTCGAAACGTGAATATCCTAATAAAACAGGTTTGTATTCGCACACTTTCACAATGAACATATCAAAATTTATATTTAAATAAATCGCTACACACAATTGCGAATAAATTCCTACACGTTACTTTTATTCATCACCTATTATTCGAATAAATCGTTACCCACCTCTGCCCGGTTTAGAAGCGAGAACTCCATACTCGCAAAGTCTGGTTTCAAAGATTATACATTCGCGGGACTTCGAATACAGCCGATTGAGTCATCAATACGTGACACGTATACGAAAATACGTAAGCAGAAATTTTTGCGTACGCTAAGACCGCCCAAGGCCGATCGTAATCGTTCCCTATTATGGCACGTTTCATTGAACGCTCGTGCCCGATGACCAAATGAAAAGACGCGTAATGCTCTAGAATTTTGAAATAATTATCGATAAAGGACATCGATGGCCCATTGGCTCTATAATAACTAAAATTAATCGACCCCCTTTGCAGACGATGTCTTATTTCTTTTCTTTTTATCGTTTTCTCTCTTGAATTATGGTATCAATTTTTTCCTATGTTCAAATTTCTTTCACTTTTCATGAGTAATTACATTGTTATTCTAACATTTGAACTTCTATGAATAATGTTATTTTAAATATAATATAATTTTAATTAATAATGCTCATTCTTTCTTCGAGGACTGCAATTTTAAATAATTCTACACAATGTTAAAATTAATATGTTTCGCTCTTCCTTATTACTTTAGATCGAAGTAAAAATTGTTAATTTTGTTCGAATACTTCTGCTTGGGAAGTTTATGAAGTTTACGAGGAAACTTCGCCGCGGTCCTTATCCAGAGTACTCTTACTTCCTGAACGTAAACAGTAACAAAGTGCTTTACACAGATTCTCTCAAACCAGTGCTTCTCGGGGAGAGCTCGTTATTAAGTGAATTCCGTGCATTCTTGGTGTTACGGCAATGCTTTTCTCACGGGGCACTGAACGTCCTTAGAATACAGCGAGTAAACCGACGCGCAATCGCAGCATTCAGTTTCGCTGAGGAAACATCCGAGCCAAGATTCGTGGTACTCTAATTCAGAGGCAAATCCGCACTCTGAGCAAAAATTTCACTCGGAGAAGTACCATGATTCAATTTCGATAAAATGAAAAGGGAGTAAAGCCTCTTTCGAGTCAAGAAATTTACTATGAAATTAGAATTGACTATACAAATTTAGACAACAATGTATCCTATTTCAAGTATCTTTGATGTGTAATTTATTAGCACAGGGTGATCTAATACTGATTGCACTCATTTACGAATTTATTACGTAATTAAGTTTCATGTGAAAGTGTGTTTTGAAGACATTCGTGAATAATCTCTGACAGTTTTGTCTTTTAGTCTTATCTTGAGTTCCAGAGTAAACCCAGATACACATTTTCTTTTTTTAAATACAGTTATCGTCGAGTATTACACACTTTTTGGCCATCGTCAATGTTGAAAAATAAAGACGCGCACAGGTATGGCGAAACGGCAAATTAAAAATGGTCGACCGTGGAAATTTCGAATCTTTTTATAGAGATTCAATGCGATGAAATGTCCACATAAAAAATTCTCCATCGTCCTATCGCCAGTTCTGTTTCCAGAACGAGTTCTCGTCGCAGCGTCCTAAAGCAACAGAGGGACTCGAGAAAGTGGTCCAGGATAAAGATGGTCGAAAGATCCTATAGTCCGTATCCATTGGAGGTTCCATGACCCAGCAAGAATTTTTTTCTCCGTGAAAGAATCTCTACAAAAAGTTTCGAGAAACGATCGAGCAGAAAAATAAAATTAATAAAAATGTAATCTTAATCCAGATGTTTCTCAATAAAATTAACACTGGACCTTCCAGAACAGGAAGAATATGTAAGAATAGTTCTCAGTCTACAGGTTTATTTGTTCTAAATAATTGTTACTCGTTATATGTGAAATCTCATAAAGAACGTTGAGAAGTACCTGTGGGATGAAAATTCTCCTCATAAAATTGTATTGAAAAATATAAACTGCTCCGTGAAGTACAATGATTAATTGGTTCTTGGCACAATTAATAAAGCAAAGTCATTGTTTTCTGAATAAATCCAGAATGAAGTCTTCATAATTATCTCGATTGAATTTTTTATCCATTTAATATAAAGATTAATTAATAAGGGTTCTGAAAAATGTTCTGTGTTCCCTTCGACGACGGCTCTTACTTTCGAAAGCATTCTTTTATCGAATGTAAACAAGTTTGCTCGCAAAAAAATGCAATATTAACAGCGATAAGATTATCGTCTATCGGAGATTTTTTTCGAGACTTTTAGAACGAAACGGATACCATTCACGGAATTCATCAAGCTTACATCTGGAGTTGACGTCACCGGTGTACACAAATCATGCGAGCGCTGCTCACATGCTACAACGTTAACAAAGCCGCGGTTGTATAAAAACGGCCCCCTCAAGCACTCCTTCAACGATTGATCGACTATCGCAATACGAGTGTAAAATTAATTGCCGACATAATTACAAAAAAACTGAGTGATGATGAACCACGATACCATTGTGTACAAATTAGAAATAAAAAGTAATATAGTTTCCCGTGTACGTGTAAATTAAAAAGAATTGAATTTCTTGCAATTTAACGTAAAAACAATGGAAAACTGTTTCAAGTGTCTTAATAGACGATCGGTACTGTAGATTTTGATCTTACAAAAGTCCTGTGCCGTTCTACCTCGAAACAGGTTATACGTCATCGCGTAATGACCAGCGGGTTTCTATTTTTTATAATTTTAGGGTCTGACACAATAAAACTCGAAAGGGTCTTTCTTGCTACGCAGAATATATTTGGGCGGAGAATCCCTTTCTTCTTCTTCTAGTCTTCTTCTGGTCGTTATATATTTTATAGTCTTTCTCTCTTTTTTATTTTTTTGATGTTGTTAAATATAAGTTGTTATTAGTGGATGCATAAGGTTCTAGTACAAATCAGTTTCTATTTTGTAATCAGCTTCGACGATCTTATTTTACGGGTTGCCATTTGACGGATTATAAATCTTTGCAACCCATCTACACGTCAGAATGGGTGGCCATTGTTATTGGAATCTCGAGTACTCGAGACTCGACCCGAATACTTGGTCATTAAAGTATAGAGGTGGTCAAGGTGACGAAGCTTCAAAAGTTGCGAACTGCATTTCGCAAAGATCAGCATTGAATGTCGAAACAGATAAGGGTAGGTATTCAAGCTACCAAAGGAAAAGTAGTTCCATCAGATATCGTTTCTAATATAATAGTGGATGAATTTCAACATTCACAATAAATTCTGCGAGCGTTGATCGATGATGTCATAAATCAACGTCTATTAGTTGTTATTTGGCGAAATATAAATTTTTTGTACAGATTAGGACAAATCACCTGTACTACGAGGATGTTCAACTAATGACTCCAACGCTTTATTCGTTTACATTAAAATAACATTCTATTTATTAACTGATGGAGCACATTAACATATATATTATTTATCGTCTATATCCTCTAATTATGTAAGAATACATGCAACACCAACATGTCAAATTAAACTACAGCTCGTGCAAAAACTTCAAACTAGTATACACCACACTTACTTCAAGTTTTATATATGGTAACACAAACTAGAATAGCGAACTAAATGAATAAAAATTAGATCAGAAATATTCACAAATTTCCATGTGAAAAAAAAAAACACTTCTTTAAGTGGAACACCACAAAATTGCATTGAAGTTAATCACTCTTATATATTAAAAAAAAAAGAACACTTGGAAACAGTTGGAGCAGGTCGCTTAAGAAACTTTACATACTAAACCATTCCTTACTTGAAAAAAAAAAAAAATGAAGTATCCTATGGCAACTTCTAGTATAGTTAAAACGGTACGGTTACTCCCTTCTTCGAGTACCCGAAACACCTCCAACTTCTGCACGGTATGCGGAGAAGTTTTTCGAAGGCGGCACGAAAGCGGCTCCAGGAATTCGTCGGAATGACGTCATCCTCGTGCCAGACTGGAGAACGGAGGTCACGTGTCACGGCGTCAGACGAAAACTCGATACCCGTCCAGCATCGTGGCGACCAATAGGCGCCCGAAGGATTCTCTCCAGCGAGGCGCGCGATCGCCGGTACGAACTCGGTCGTGTCAGTCGAGCCGCGACCGTGGAATAGTGAGTATCGTATACATATAGTTCTATTGTTCGTTTTGCCGAGCTGTATCGCTGTCGTCGTGGTGTTTGGTCGTTTTTCTTCATTCGTTTGTACCGGTGAAGCAACGTCGAGGGTATGATGGCCAGCAACAGGGCTGCCAAGTCGGGTTTCGCGGCTGAGGCGCAGAGAAAGGTAAGGGGAAGAGTTCGTTTTTTTTTTTCTTGTCCCGACTGTTGAATGCAACTAGAGATGGTCATTTGTACTTCTGCGTGTTTTACGACGTCTTGTAGTTCAGAAGAGTGTTAAAGATACCGGTCAGGAGGTTGCGTTAGCATGAACGAGTGTGTGTTGGTGTTTGTTTGGTCCAGGAGTGATGTAGTGGAAAATCGTTAAATTTGTTATATATGGAGCATTGAGGCAATTCGATTTTTAGAGAAATTTTGTGTAGGTGGATATGTGTGTATGGAAATGATGGATGTTGGAGTATGTTTGCATTTGGATTTTAGGGGTGATTCATAAGAAAATCATGAAGTTTATTATAGTGATTTTGGTATAATTGATACCACTCAATTTTGTTTTAAATTATGATTATTGGATGTTATCTGTGTGGGTGTGTGTGTGCATGTATATGTATGTTGGTATATTTGTTTTCTCTTACATCTCAGTGGAAGGCCAGTCAAATTATAAAACCTGCTACAGTGATGTTTACATAGGTCAACGATGTCATTAAATTCTTGAAGTGTATATAGATGTACGTATGTATGTTGACCTTGGTTTTCTGATTCACTTTAAGAGTCATCAAAAAATCCTTACTCCTTTCTATCTATCACTGACGTCATTAAATTTTGGACAAAATATCATATCGACGGATGTATACGTTCACTTCTATAATCCTATACATCTCAGAATCGGTCTCAGGAGTGGTCTATCATTAATCGTGAAGTTTAGTTTGATGAAGTCCCACCATGGGGCATTGACGCTATTAAATAATTAACGAATTTGATAAGCTAGGGGAAACGTTGACGCGGAGGTTGCCATGCTCCCTGTGGTCTTAGAAATGTATATAAAAAGTTTGACTAGTGGAAAGTAGAAAATGTGATAGGTTCAGAAGTAGTACCAGGAAAGTTCTGCAACAACGTCAGCTTTTCCTTTTCGCATGCGTCACTTTTAGTTGGTGCCACCGTGACCTACTGCGCGACCATCCCCCGTGGAATTCGACCTAGTGAGGGTGCGTGGCCGCGCATGTGCGGTGACCGGGGTTCATTGCACCTGAACTCGTGCAAACGACAGAAGACGAAGATATATTTCCACGTTGAGTGGTTTTCAGTGCGTAGAATGCATGTCGATAATTTTAATTCAAAGAATTTAAACGATATTGATTTCTTAACTTAACTACTATTCAAAATCATAGAGGGCTTCCTTTTTCTATTAAAAATCTCTTAAATTTGTCCTGATTTTAATAACTATGAATTTATTAGAACAGGTGTGAAATTGTTATCGAATTGTTTGAATATTCTAATCTTTTTTTTCTGAACTTGTCCTCACATTGATTTTTTAAGTTCGAGTACATAAATTATTTAGAATAATAGGTGGACGAATATACTTTCACAATAAGAACATTTGCACGTCGTAAAATGTTCAGAGCCTCGCAAAATAATTAACTTCAGGACCCGATTAGTTTAGACTCGTCATTGGGAATTCTGTTTTTGTTTTTTTTTTTCGTTCAGTGATTCGAAGGAATGTAAAGTCGATAAATATTGGGTTGCTTCATTGTGATCCAAGGAACAGTGGGATTATTCTCGTGTTTACCTTGGATCTGTGCGTATGTGCCGGTCAGACGTCTGTAGATTACGATGCTCGTACCGAGATATTCCGTAACGCTTATCGGAGATTAATCCCATAAGTAATTGGAATGCACAATGCGTATTTGCACAGTTTGATATCCTAGCTGGTCGCTATGAATATCGGTATAAGGAACGCTCTTCAAACATTTCTGACAAATCGTTAACCCCTGGATCGCATACCTCGCCCAATTGGGAACTCGATAAAAACAATTCGTATAACACTAATTGATAATGTCAAATGTACCCATATTCTATGAACCTTTATTTATTTTGACAATTAACAGGTTGAAATCGAATGTTGCATGTCAATTAATAATAACACATACAAAATTTAATTGAAGACAGCAAAGGCTATGCTTTTTACAATTAAACATTAACGGTTCCAAGAAATGATGGGGATGACCACGCGTTTCTTAGCCAAGCACCTGTCGCGCCTCTTATACAGTATTCATTGTGTATATGACATTGTTTACATATTCAAGTATGGAACCAAACATCAGAACGGATAAGCATCAGCTACCTAATAGCCTTGCAGGTTCGGCAGCTTGTTATTTAATAAAAATAAAGTCATTTCTAGTAGTGAATGTATTTAACCGACAATTTCGACGTCCAACAAGAATAAAAAATGACTGGATAAATGAAGAATTTAAAATACACTGAAACAGTTACCTTGCCTATCGATGCTCGAATTGTATAGATGTATAAAATATCGTGTTATGTATTTCTTATTTAATTTATGTCATGTCATATGTTATTAAAAAGAGAGAAATAAAAAATTTTTGAATAGGAGTGAAACGTCAAACATGCATCAGAGAGATAGTGTATGTGGACGTAGATAAGTCGAGTGCAAACGAAGGATTGACGAAGAATTATCAAAGTTTTGATACGCTCGAGGAGTGTTTCTTCGGAACACCTGAAGACACACCGGGTGTGCCCACCTTTTGCTTCGAATTTGCTCGTGGGTTCTCTGGCAACAGCTGCCAGGCGGTCCCTTCTCTCGGGTCGGGGAATTAAAATGAGACTCCGCTGCCAAAGAAGGGAGCGTCCCTCACGAAACTCGATGGCCATGGTACACTTCTTCTCAGTAATCGTTTCGACGTTGGCTACCTAACATTTTTGCGACACTGTCACGCGATAGAATGTTCACCTGATAATGCAGTACTTTATCAGCGTGTACATTATTATATTAAATACTTATAAGAACGTTCTTCCAAGTAGATACCAGATAGAAACTGCCCAGACTTATTTTTTCGAAGCGATTTCGTATGTTGAACAATTTTAGGAGAAATACAGCAGAAAACTTGTAAGAAATCCAACACATAATTAAAAGCAAATACAGGACTATGGAAGAATATAAATATTCTTAAATAGTAAAAACCTTATTAAATTAAAAATTTCATCTGTATCTTGCAGCAAAACTTATCCGTTACATGTCAGAAATTAATCCCAATTCAAGTAAGTAAATCAACTGTAATCAACTGCCCCAAAAGTCGAATCAATTACGATAACGAGTGACATGTCGAGAAAACTCGTATCTAGAAAAGAAGAAATGGAGCAGAATGGTATCTCGATTAAATAACAATGCGAGCACTCGTGCTCGATAATTGGAGAAATAAATGCCTCTAATCGAAGAACACCGTCGCGCCGTTTAGTACAAAAGCTGAAGCATCTCTCAATTAAACAAGGGAGGGAAAAAATGGGGCAAAACACAAGGGGTCCGTTGTTCGCACCGGTTCCTTTTTTGTTCCTCGTGAGACAATCGGCGAGCAACGAGTCCGAAGGACGCTCGTGGAGAAACGAGTGCTCATTACGAAGATACGCTTATCGTCGACGGAATGCAGCGGTTCGCTCGCTGTATGTGGTACACTGATAGCCGTCATGGGTTTGCGTCTCACGATTAGAGGGCGTTAGCTGGAGGAGACGTGGAATCGTAACGGAAGGTGCGATACGCTCAAATTTCCAAGGTCCGAGACTATTATGTAATCTGTTAGCGGTACCAGTGATCGATCGACACGCATGCACGTGTTGCGCGACAATTCCAGTACGACGAAAGGTCAGCGATAGTATTGTTATCGGTATCTTCGTGGCTGCCCCGCGAACCATGACCACCTTTCGTAAATAGCGGTTTCGTCTGTTCGCAGATACCCTCTGCTAGTTAGGAATTCTTATGCGACGGTTTCAGAGAAGCGATTAAAAATAGTAATTTAAAATAATAGCGTGTAGTATCGAATTGAGTCGTAACGAGCCAGATGTAACGAACAGAACGCGGTGATAACTGTAATTTGCACGTATTCCCATGCGACTGTTCGCTAATTGGGAGAGGTAGGCAGGACTATGTTGCAAATACTAAATTTGCGCTAATGGCTGATGAACGATTATTATTTTGATTATTTTTGTAATATGAGAGAAAGGAAATTGCTAATAGTTGAGATATTTGTAAAGTATGAAAACATACGTTATGTGGACGAAATTTTGAAAGAATGTAAATGTTGGACTATGTTCATTTATGCAATTCATTCCTCCAGTGATACGGTGAAGCTTGTTGACAAAATCTAGAAATGTATTCGTGAGGACATTGGACTCTGAGCTTGGTTGAAACTTATTGCTTGAAACTTTGTTTTTAGTCTTTGAACGAGTCAAATAATGTCTGCAACTGTTTCGATTTTAATCATAGTTTTTTTATTTGAATAGAAGCGTCACAATGCTTTATGTATTAATTTAGTAAATTCTCTTTTACATATTCATTTAATAAATTCACTTGTATATAGAAACATAGTCAATTCTTTTTTATATATTGATTTAGTAAATTCTGTTTTATGTATTCATTTAGAAAATTCTTTTTCCATACTGATCTAGTAAACTAAAATGTAACATTGAGTCGAGTCTTTTTATTTAAGCGCCATATAGGAAAGATGCTTCGTTAAAAATTCGAGATAACAATTACAGCCACGTGTTTCCGTGAACGTCGCGCTATGAATGCGCAGTATTATGCCTCGGATCTAAACATAGGCGTGCTTCATCCCCGAAGAGGATATCTGTATTAGCCACCGGAAGTGCTATAAAGTGGTTTCCGTTTTAGGAACGAATAACTCGAGACGCCACGGAGAAACTTTGCTTCTTACGATTTTAGTTTCATCCATTAACCCATTCACTGCCAACAACGAGATATCTCGTAGTTCAAATTGATTGCAGTTACTCAAGGAATTTTATAGCCTTTTGAATCACGAATTATTGTAAAAGAAGATCCTGAATTTTCTTTTTAAAACAACAAATTTAATAGGACTTTTTATTATCAAAACAATAACTTAGATTACACGTCTGTATTAAATCACGGTGCTCAAGGCAAAA